ACTTGTACTCACACTTTAGCAGTAAGTATTTCGTACAAATCTGGACGACTAGCGTCCCGATTTGTGAAGAATTCGGGACAAGCTGCGCGCATGGTGAAATACATATCCAGTTTACGCTTGGTCTTCTCTAGAGAGAAACTGCAACCGCGGAGGAAGGTCATGAGAGGCTGGTCCTCTGAAACAGAAATGTATACATCTAAATATAGTTATGATATACTGGTTAATTCAACTTTTGGGTCTCGTCAGACTCTTAGGGGACAGAATGACGTCATAACGGTGCTCCTACAACGACGGTCCGTGTAAAGGAAAATCTGCAACTTTAGAGGAGCGATTAAAAACTTAAAAAATAATATTACTCATTGGTGATTGGATGTACGATCCCATTATAGATAAAAAAGTATTATATCTTTTATTAAATTATGAAACACTAAAAAATTTATACTTTATCAGAAATAATAAATATAATAACCATTTTATATTTGTATTCTAGTAAATAATACTTAAGTCGCTGTTCTCGTGTAGTGTTTACACTATTATTCGTTGGAAAATTTATATATTTACTTTAAAATGTAACATGTTACTGTGTTTCACTATGGATATTAAGATTTGTCAATGCGAATATTATCATATAGTTACGTGGTTATTCTAGTAATTGGTCACAAATTTTAAAAGTGCAAAAATGCATTACAATTTTAAACATTTATATATTTATATAAAAAAATATACCAAGTTAGTTTGTTATAAACATGCAAGAGCAGATAATAACACAGTTGCAATATTCATAATAAACATTGACGTACCGAAAAATTATAAAATGGATTGGAAAATAAATCTGAAAAAGAATTATGAGGTGTATTTTGAGCGGGAAAATCCAAGAATGTAATAAAAATACAGTTAAAGCTTTTACACGTTCTTCGGTGGTGCCGTCGACAAGCTTTAAAACAAATTTACTTGTTTATAATCATTATCTGTTTTCGAAATATATTTACGGGAAAATGTATTTGGGTCATTCGCATTTTTTAAATAAATAAACTAAGAGACTAGGCTAATAATAATAATAATAAATGTTTATTTGTTTTCAACAATAATGTAACTGTATATAAAAACTATTTAGATCAATGTCTAAAGTGTAGTTTTAATGCGGTTTTTTTTTTATGTGTCTGGTATGGATGGCTGTAAAATTCGTACATAAATTAGAGTTGCAATAAACGATATGTTTGGTCTCGGATGATATTCGAATAGGAGCGTGGCTGAATAGCAGAAACGTACATTGTTCATTTTTTTCAAACTCTCTATTTAAAAGTCCATTTCGAGAAATAAGGTTGCTGATTAATATTTTAAGATTATTTATATTTTTCAAAAAATAGTATTGACCTTTATTTGACATTAAATGACGTCATCAGTGGCTCTATAATAACCATTACCCGTGCGTAATGCGAAGCAAAAATGCAAAAATAAAATTAAATATCATTTCATCAACGTTTGTAAACATAACCTTACTATCTTTGCAACTTTTAATTTCGCTGCCGGGAGACAACATATCAAATATAACACAGCTATGGAATTCAGAAAGTGCTTTGTTCATACCTACGAGAATTATTAAATAAATAACCTAAACAAGATATTTGTTCATATTACAGAAATTTGGGAATATAGTGGTGTCGTGAAGTAAACGTGAGATAATTCAAAGTTTACACTATTTATTGATGTGAAGATCACTTTGAAGTAAGTTGATAAGTCTGTTTATAACAACACTTTGTCTTTCTTTTCCCTGTTAGTACTACTGTGAAATTTCTGAGGTAAATAATTATTCTATTACTTTCGTAGCTGACCGAAGATTTGGTGTTTCAAAGTGAAAATTATGAAATATGAGCCAGAACTGCGCAATATCAGTATTTATTCGGCCTGATTAACGCACATACGAAAATTGGCACGAAAAGTACCATTTACAAAATTTTGGTTATGATAAATAATTTTGTTCAATGAAACAAAAAAGTTACTTTAACTTTCATATTTATAATTTAAACTTATGATTTAATGGCGAAAGTATGACATTTTGCGTGCGGCAATGATTCTTCATCATCATTCAGTCTTCAGAACTTTATTAACTTTTATTAGGTAGTTTTCAAGTGATACGTTACCTTTTTTAACCTCTTAAAAAAGTTATTTGTGTTATTTTTTTGATCTTTTAGATAAAGAACTGAAAAATTGCGCTTACGCAAACTAACAACGTATGTTCAGTGCAAATAAAAGTTACATGATAATTTATTGTCTTTTTTCTTATTTCTTCCCCCAGTCTTCTTCTTCTTCTTGCCTTAATGCCAAAAACCAGTAGAAATGTTATATTTCTTTGGACCAGTAAGTAGCCATCCCTATCTATTGACTTTAGCAACACGGGTGCAGCTGGTCGGATACAGTGGGCATGAGAGCAAGTGACATACTTTGTGTGGGGGATTCGCAAACACAATGGTTATGTAACCCAGTAGGTAATCGGTATTAGGCTGAATAATAAAAAAACAGGACGAACGAACCGAATACCAAATAGTAAACGAATATTTGTTGCAACTCTAATATAAATTTTTACATATTCTTGCGCTCATAGCAGCTACTTGTAGTCGCAAGTCTGTTCAATAAATTAGAATCAAAATGACGATTTTTATGCCTGTAGTTTTGACGTATTCAGTAGAATTCTGCCGTCCGGTAATCAAAACGTGGCTAAGCGACAAAAAATAATTTTGTGAGATATCATAAAAAGCCATAACTCAATTTCAGAATATTGAAATTGTTTAATGATATCACAGCTATGCGTCATTGGGCTAAGTTCCGATTTAAGTCGAAAATGTAAACTAATTTTAACTTTTTTTAAAAGAGTATTTTGTGCTCTATTTTTTGCCATTTAAAACGGATATTTCACCATTTGTTACTTAACTGCGTTGTAGTTAGTGGACGGTAGAATTGTATGCGTGATCAACAACACTAGAATTCGCACCTTTTGGTATTATTAAGGTCACATCTGCAAAATGACAATTTTTCAGAAGAGAGGTTTAAAGATTCTACAAACGAAATTAGTTGATGACTTTTTATTTCGACTTTTTTTTTTATAATTTCAAGTAACGGGATGAACAAGTCGTACGCCTGGTGGTAAGCTACACGCCTGTCCATAACAGTTGCAGTGCCTCTCAGAGCTTTAAATCGCAAAGACCTGAGGGGTACCTACTGCCTCTGCGCCCGTCACCAAACCAAACGTTTATTTCAACAAATTTTGTTGCATGTAGTACGTATTATTTTTATGCTTTTTTTTTTTTTGGAAAAACACACTTTTGTCATAATGACGAGACGGCTCGCGTGTCGAACGTGATTAGCAACCCTATTTTTTTTAATTTATTTATTTAATAGTTTATTGTACAGGAAAAATACAAGTCACAAAGAATACAAGCGAAATTAAAAACAAAAGGTTCTGCTTATTTCTAATAGAAATTTCTTCCTGCAGACCTAAATACAGGACACTATAACTAAAAGAACGGGCATATGTGCACAACAAAACAAGGAAAAAATAAAAAATAAAAATAATATAAAAATATTAAATTGTTATAAATTATATAAATATTTAGATAAATACATATTTTATAATATAATACCTAAGATATGGATGGAATAGTAGATAAATAATGCTCTTTAACTCTCACTTTAAAAATAGCTAACGATTTACTTTCGTCAACAGTAATAGGAAGTGCATTCCAAAGTCTGACCGCATGAACAGTGAAGGAATGAGAATAGAAACCGGAATTGAAGCATGGAAAAGATAACTGGGACCTAACAAGAGAGCGACAGGGTTTATCATGGGACCTAAGGAAGCTGAAACGCTCTTTCAGGTACCCGGGAGACACAGGGTTGTGTAAAATATTGTAAAGAATGGAGATAATATGCCAATTCCTGCGGAGACGGATGGGAAGCCATTTGAGCTGACTGCGGAAATGTGAAATTCGGTCATATTTACGAAGCACAAAGATGAACCTTATACATAGGTTGTGCAGTCGTTCAAGCTTATTTAGCAGTTCTTCAGTAGCATCCAAATAGCAGGAATCAGCATAGTCTAAGAAGGGCAAAATAAGTGTTTGGACTAAACATATCTTGGTTTTTAAAGGTAAATCGTTTTGGAGGCGCTTAAGTGAGTGCAAGGAGAAATGGACTTTACGACTGACTTCATTAATATGTGGAGCCCAAACCAAATTACAATCTAAAAGCAAGCCAAGATTAGTTGCAGTAGAAGTATAAGCAATAGGCGTGGAATTATACGCTATAGGTGGGACAGAATCTGGATGCAATATGCCACGCATATACCCACTTCCCACAATCATAGCCTGTGACTTTTTGGGATTCACCAACAAACCAAAACACTCAGCCCAATGAGCGATGCTTCGTAAATCAGCATTAACCGCTTCAACGGCTGCAACGACATCAGACGCTTTAAAACTGCGGTATAGCTGCAAATCGTCAGCATAAAGATGAAAGTTTGAAGACAGCACAAAAGTGACAGAATTGATGAAAACAGAGAAAAGGAGAGGGGAAAGAACACCACCCTGAGGAACGCCAGCAACTAAGTCACACCAATCAGAGGAAGCCTCGTCAGAGCGAATACACTGCGAGCGGCCTCTGAGGTAGGAGTCGAACCAAGCTATAACCGAAGGAGAAATATTAAAAGAGCGAAGGGAAGCAAGCAATACATCAAAGTCCACAGAGTTGAAAGCACTGCTGAAGTCCAGAAGTATAAGCAAAGTGAGAAGACCATTGTCCATTGCGAGGCGAATATCATCTGTTACCTTCAATAGTGCAGTCACAGTGCTATGGCCAGAACGAAAACCTGACTGAAACGGGGAAAGCAACTTATTAGAAGAAAGATACAACATTAACTGCTTGTTGACAATGTGTTCGAGGACTTTGGATAGAAATGGGAGAATGGAGATGGGACGGAATTCGGAAAGGCAAGTAGTGTTAGACGTTTTGGGTAAAGGGATAACATGGGCGAGTTTCCAATGAGAAGGGAAAGAACTAGCTTCTAAAGAGAAGTTAAAAACACGAGTGAGGATAGGGACAAGTTCAGGGAGTATGAGGCTAATCATACGGGAACTGAGATCATCGTTGCCAACAGCAGTAGAAGAAATAGAGAGAATATGG